AGGACGAGGTCAAATGCTGGACGGACGAGTGCCAGGAGCCTCTCAGGTAGAATATAAGCCATTTGGGAAACCCCCTCTAAAGAGAGAGGTGCTATGTTCTGTGTTCGCGCTTTCGCGCGGCGCAGTCTGCAGCTGTCGCTGCAGTTCGCGCAGTTCGCTGCTCCGGGCTGCGCATTATGGATCCAATGTTGCGCCATTGTTGCTTCAAGGCGATTCATTATTGTCTCAACAATGCCTCTTCTTCTTTTCCTATGAGTTTCCTATGGGTTTCCTATGTGTTTCCTATGGGTTTCCTATAAGATTCCTATAGGTTCCTATAGGTTCCTATAAGGGCCCAAAAAACTCCGAGCTCCGAGCCCTCAGCCACGCCACCTGCCTGGCATAAAGAAGGCCTCAGCCTTGCCGAGCCTTGCGCACACCGAGGTCGGAATTTCCAATTCGCTTTTTATGCCCGCGGGGGTCTTTGAGAGAATTTACATCTTCCGCCCGAGTGTCAACATAGACGACGGCTGGATACCCGTCAAGAAGTACATTGAGGAGGACCTGGGGGTGAACACAGAGCGGGAGCAGACCTATTGGGACGAGTGGGACGAGGCGGCGCTGCGGCGCATCATCCAGCAGCAGCGCAAGATCACGGAGGCGTCCAAGAAGTTGGACATGAAGAAACTGTACCAGGTGCTTGTAGTCATCGACGACTTTGCTGACACGCCGCAGTTGCACAAGCCTCACGGCGCCCTGGACACTCTCTTCATCAGGGGCCGGCACATGCAGATAAGCACCGGGGTGAGCTCGCAGAAGCTGCGGCTCATCAGCGCAGCGGTGCGGGTGAACATGCAATTCCTCTGCTGCTGGAGGCTGCGCAACCAGCACGAGCTGGACGCCGTTATTGAGGAGCTGAGCGCCCTGCTGCCAAAGGAGCAGCTGTACCGGCTGTATGAGCAGGCCACGCGGGAACCCTACAGTTTCCTCTTCGTCTACTACCTAAAGCCGAGGAATGAAATGTTCTACAAGCGCTTTGAAGAGCGTTTTGCACTTGAAAAAGACGCCGATGGGAGCGGCGCTGAGCTTCCTGGGCCAGAAGCTGTTCGCCAGCTCCACGCTGATCAACGCGAAGTGTGAAAACATCTCCTGCTGCACCTCCGTCGCAGCCGTCCAGCCGCCCGTCGTCCGCCGGACGGGCGGGTTCCTAAAGAAAAGGATGACCACTATCTACGTGGACAGCCGCAAGAGAGGCACATCTTATTTGAATGTGCCCAGATGCGTGACGTATACTTAGCCGAGGGTAAACCTGACTTGAGCTGCAACCCAGACGCAATCTGCGTGCTTGCCTGACCTTTTGCTTGGATCTGACAGTCACAGCTTCTCCCGGGGGCTGGTAGTCGTTGTGGCGCGCCTGGGGCATGAAGTTGCAATTGGCTTGAGGGCGCGTCGCTCAATGCACCTACCTTTGGACGCTTTAGGAAGTCCTGAGTAAGGAAAAAGCACTGGGTCCTGGATGCGCCGTCTTTGCAACGTTTGATCGATAACATTCTTGAGTTTTCGTGTCCATTCAACCAAGGCGTCGGATGTGCATTCAGCACTAATTGTCTGGCTGGAATGGTTCTGGTCCATTTTCGAGGTATGTTAATTCGGGTGTTTTAGGTCACCTCTTTTCCGGGAAAAAACGGCAACCCATTTTAAGCATAATTTGGGCTGGAAGCTGTCGCGTGCACCGATTTCAATCGAATGTGAAATCAAAGCCCCTAAACGCAAGCACTTCAGCTGATGTTGCAACCCGGTTTTTTGAGGAACTACGGGGTAAAGGGGTTCTTCGCAACGCCTCCCTTGCAGCCACCTGGGCGCCCAAATCGAGTCCTTCACAAGTGCCAGGCGTCAATTCCACTTGGCCTCTAACGATTTCATAACGGGGTTTTGTTTTCATTGTTTTAAAAAGGGGCACAACTTTGAAGCACACAGCAAAGTGATCCCAAGTCAGTCCAGCAAGGGTCTCTGAGCAGGACCTGGGCGTGAACACGGAGAAAGAGCAGGCCTACTGGGAGGACTGGGACGAGGCGGCGCTGCGGGGCATCATCCAGAGGCAGCGCAAGATCACCGAGACATCCAAGAAGTTGGAGATGAAGAAGCTGTATCAGGTGCTGATCATCCTGGACGACCTAGCGGACATGCCGCAGCTCCACAAGGCCAACGGCGCCCTGGACACGCTCTTCATCAGAGGCAGGCATATGCAAATAAGCACCTGGGTGAGCTCACAGAAGCTGAGGCTCATCAGCGCGGCCGTGCGGGTCAATCAGCAATTCCTCTGCTGCTGGAGGCTGCGCAACCAGCACGAGCTGGACGCCGTCATCGAAGAGCTGAGCGCCCTGCTGCCGAAGGACAAGCTGCACAGGATCTACGAGCAGGCGACCAGGGACCCCTACAGCTTCCTCTTCGTGTACTACCTCAAGCCAAAGAATGAGATGTTCTACTTGCGCTTCGAAGAGCGTTTCGCTCTGGAGAAAGAAGCCGATGGGAGCGGCGCTCAGCTTCCTGGGTCAGAAGCTGTTCGCGAGTTCCACACTGATCAGCGCACGGTTTGAAAATATCTCCTGCGCCTCAGGCGCTCAGTGCTGCACCTCCGTTGCAGCCATCCAGTCGCCCATCGTCCGACGGACTGGTGGCTTCCTTAGAAAAGGCATGACGACTATCTACGTGGACAGCCGCAAGAGGGTAGCCGGCTCGGACAGCGACTTTGAGGTAGACCTGGGAGAGTCTCTGCACCTGCAGAGCGACGCCAGGCTGGCTGTCTATAAGATCAGAATCGCCGACAGCTTCCTCTCGACAGACCGGGGCCGGTACCTCTACTGGCTCGACGCCGCGCTCGGCACGCTGAATTGGGCGCTCCTTCCGGAGGGCGCCTACACGGGCTCCCGGCTGGCAGCCTGGATCAGCTCCAACTTCGCTACTGCCACGTACAGCGAGACCACGAACAGCCTCAGCGTAGCCTACGACGGCAACCGCCTCATTCTGAACGATCTGGAGCTGCAGCAGCAGTTCCCAGACGCTGTGGACTACCCCACCTCGCCGGGCGCCTCTCCGAGCAAGCCCTTCAGCGTCGATCACATGCTAGGCCCCAGCTTCGTCTCCGGTGGGCAGCAGGTCTTCGAATTCGTGCGCATGAACTGCTACAATGAGGTCTACCTGCGCTGCCCCCAGCTGGCCAACGCCAGCCGCGTGCTGGGCAATCTGGGGGACGACATCGCTGAAGAGCGGCGTGGGCACCATCGTGGAGACCGGTTCCGATGACGGGCACTTCATGGCCGTTAGGGGCCCCATCGCCCTGAGACACCTGCGCTTCCGGCTGACAGACCTCGAAGGCCAAGTCGTCCGACTGCGGGGCTCGTCGTTGTCCTTCGTGCTGTTTTTGGATCACGTCTAATTCCCCGAAGGTCTTTTAAAAAAAATATTTTCTATTAAAAAACCGATGAAGCAAGCGCAACCGTGGGTGCTGCCTTGGGTGCAGCCTTGGGTGCGGCCTTGGGTGCTGCCTTGGGCGCTGCCTTGGGTGCTGCCTTGGACACGGGTGCTGCCTTGGGTGCAGCCTTGGGCGCCGTCTTGGGCTTTGTGGGAAATCTCACCCTCTTGGGACGGAAGGGGGAGTCCGCTTCATACGCCGGCTCCGTGGGCAGGTCGTCGATCATTTTTTTTCTCTTCGCCAGGTCGTCGATCATTTTTTTGCTCTTCGGCAGGGGCAGCTCGGGCGGCTTGGGCTTGTTTTTACTACCCGGAGGTCTGCCTCTAGCAGCTCATCTGTGCGCTCGCACGAGGATCTCGCCGAGGTGCTCCACCCGCTGGCGGAGAATTCTGTTGCTGCGCTCCAGCTCCCCAACGCGCTCCCTAGCTCGCTCGCGCTCTTTGTCGATGAGATTGGGAGATTTCTGTTGTCGCGCTCCCGCTCCTCGCAGCGCAGGGATATGTGTTTTGTATCTCTTGAACTAAGGAAAGGAATGTCATTGGACGACACGAAGCAAGAATGTCAGCGACTTGCTACTGTGGAAATTGTCCGCTTCATGGAGCTTCAAGCGCACCCCAAGGTCCGGGGCGCGAGATGTTGCAAGAGCTCCTCAAAGTTTATCCTGAAGGCATCCCAGAGGTTTCAAACGGCATCAGCATCCTCCCAAGGGAGGTTGCCGCACTAATTCGCAACAAGAGTTGTCATGCTGTGTATTTTCACCCAATCAAGAAGCGCTTCTTTTTTGCCTCAGGAGGCCGCTGAAACGCAACTGGCAAATCCATAGCCGATCTTTTGCGAAAATGGCCGGAAGACTTCAGCTCGTTCTTGCTTGTGCATTTGTTCCAGCCCCGTAAACACAACGCACGCATAGTATCAGATGTATCAGCTATGTGAGATGGTGTATTTTGAAATCCAATTCAAGGATAGACGATTCAGGCATGCTGAGCCAAATCCATGCACCTGCACTTCAACATTTCCGAAATCGGGTGTGTTTGAGTTTGATTTGCTTTACCTTTTTTCGTGTTTTTTTGGGTTCTGAAGATGAACAAGAAGGGCTGCGAGTTGTGTCCCCAGCTCGTGGCTTTCTTCAAGGCCTTGTCCACGAAGCAGATCCTGGAGTTTCGCGCGCAATGAAACCCGACATGGACCTTGGAGTCTTTGCAGCTTGGCTGCTGTTTTTTTTTGGCCAGGTGAGTCGTGACATGAGGTTCGCCAGGATCATGACTTCAGAAAGACCAGAAAGAGCCTCAACCCCCAGTTCAATACTATACCCTGCCCCAGCTCCCACAGGCCAACATTTTTTTTTTTGAACTCAACCAAACCACCACAACAATAAACTAACACAAAAAACCATCACATTAACATTTCATCATCAACAATCCAACAGCCTACCGTACCGAAGCATTATGCATAGATTCAGGCCACAGACGCCTAACAAACCAAGATAACCGCACCAAACACAGGCAAACCTAGGAATGTGAAAAAATATGGTTTACAATACTGAAAAAAACAGATGATGGAGTAAAACTGCACGGAGTGGTGTTGGCACACTCCTTGTTGTAGCCATGAACCGAAGGCACCAAGTGCGTGTCAAGCCCTGGATGGTGCTGGTCGGTGGCTTCAGTCTGATGAAGTTGATGGGAGCCTTTGTGCCACCACCACAGGGCAAGGCAAGGACTTGAAAATCATGTTAACTTGGTTCCTAACTTTTGTGATTATGAGTTTGTGTTTAAGAAAAGGCCAGTGTGTTGTTTCATGTTTTGGTCTTGCAGATGGCTATGTCATTTGGAGGCGGTGCCAGTGAGATGCACACCACACCTTGGGGCACGCCTCGTTGGGCATGTGGTTGGCTCATGCATCATGGTAGCCCCAGCCTATGCCTCTGACACGTCGGGGCTGGATTTTCAACAATTCGTTGAAGAGTTTGCGGGGAAGAAGGACTTCTTCGCTGCCTTGGCCAGCGCCACCCTATCAGTGGCGGGGACTGTAGTTGCAATGGCGGGGACTGCAGTTGCAGTGGCTCAATTGGATCAAGCAAAGCGCTCTGCTGATGAAGCAAAGCGCTCGGCGGACGAGGCATTCAAAGCCTCTCCAGAAGGCAAAATCCAACAAGCGCTGGCAAAGGCCATGGAGCCTTTTGAACCCAGCAGGCCGCAAGACGAGGTCATCCAAAGGCCAGTGATGGAAGCTCTCCGGCAACGCATTGCGAGCTGGCAACAACATGCGACCATCATTGGGGGTCGGTACCAGTCAGGCAAGTCTGTGGCAACAGAAGAAGCCTTGCGCGGGGCGCGAGGTGTTGTGCGATGCACCATCAGAAGTGCCGATTGGGCAGATCGGATGTGCAAGCAACTGGGAGTAGATGACGAAGGGCTGTTCAAAGAGGTCATGCGGCGAGCGCGCGAGAAGCTCAAGGACTTTCCCGACAACCTCACCAAGTTTCCAATCCTGCTTCTTGAAGTCCCTCGTACAACCACCGAAGGACTGGCTGGACAAAATATGTTTTTCAGTTGTCTATCGATGCTGTAGCGCATTTTGCCCTAGTCTTTTTGTTTCCGTTCCGCTTGCCGAGGCATCAACTTAATCTCTTCCACTGCGAAGGATGTGGCGACGGACAAAATCGGAAGTGTCATTCATGCCCCCCAGCTTCAATGCAAAATTCCAATGTTGCAAACGGAAACCATGTTGAGGGAGTGGTATCTATGTGTGATTATCCTTTTGTCCAAGGTGATTGTGTCAGCCTCTTCGGCGGCAGTGGCGTTGGCTTTTGATGCTGGAGGAACTGAAAGGCAGGAAGACATTTGGGTTGGCGACTTGACGGAGGAGGAAGCGAAGGAGTTTTTGGCACTGCATGGGCATGAGAACAAGTGGGAGGACTTCGTGGATGCTTGTGTTTCAGCTCAATTCAACAACATGTTGGTTGATTAAGGTGTGTTTGCTGCGTTCAAGTTGCGTTCATGTTTTTTTTGGGGGGGACTTTGACCAGAGTTCATTTCAGGTGGCTTCCGGATTGGCGACTTGGCGAAGGCCTGTGAGAATCTGAAGCGCCTGGCTTGAACGGATGATGATTTACTTTTTCGGTGTTCAAAACCTCTCAGGGATATGTGTTTTGTATCTCTTGAACTAAGGAAAGGACTGTCATTGGACGACACGAAGCAAGAATGTCAGCGAGTTGCTGATGATGAAGTGCGAGGCTTCATGGAGCTTCAAGTGCACCCCACAGTTACAGGGTGCAAGATGGCGCAAGAGCTCCTGACGGCTTATCCGGCAGGGATTTTGAATGTTGTAAATGGCATCCGCATCCTCCCAAGGGAGGTTGCCGCACTAATTCGCAACAAGAGTTGTCATGCTGTGTATTTTCACCCAATCAAGAAGCGATTCTTTTTTGCCTCCAAATTGCATAAGGAGGCCGCTGAAGCGCAACTGGCAAATCCATGACCGATCTTTTGCGAAAATGGACGGAAGACTTCAGCTCGTTCTAGCTTGTGCATTTGTTCCAGCCCCGTAAACACAACGCACGCATAGTATCAGATGTATCAGCTATGTGAGATGGTGTATTTTGAAATCCCATTCAAGGATAGACGATTCAGGCATGCTGAGCCAAATCCATGCACCTGCACTTCAACATTTCCGAAATCGGGTGTGTTTGCGTGTGATTTGCTTTACCTTTTTTCGTGTTTTTTTGGGTTCTGAAGATGAACAAGAAGGGCTGCGAGTTGTGTCCCCCAGCTCGTGGCTTTCTTCAAGTCCTTGTCCACGAAGCAGATCCTGGAGTTTCGCGCGCAATGAAACCCGACATGGACCTTGGAGTCTTTGCAGCTTGGCTGCTGTTTTTTTTTTTGGCCAGGTGAGTCGTGACATGAGGTTCGCGAGGATCATGACTTCTGAAAGACCAGAAAGAGCCTCAACCCCCAGTTCAATACTATACCCTGCCCCAGCTCCCACAGCAACATGTACACCAAACACCACAAAAAAAGACTAACAACAAACCATCACATTAACATCATCAACAACTCCAACAGCATACCTGTACCGAAGCATATGCATAGATTCAGCACAGAAGCCTACAACAAGAAACCGCACCAAAACTCAGCCAACCTAGGCAATGTGAAAAAATAATGTTTACAATACTAAAAAAAAGATGATGGAGTAAAACTGCACGGAGTGGTGTTGGCACACTCCTTGTTGTAGCCATGAACCGAAGGCACCAAGTGCGTGTCAAGCCATGGATGGTGCTGGTCGGTGGCTTCAGTCTGATGAAGTTGATGGGAGCCTTTGTGCCACCACCACAGGGCAAGCGCTTGAAAATCGTGTTAACTTGGTTCCTAACTTTTGTGATTATGAGTTTGTGTTTAAGAAAAGGCCAGTGTGATGTTTCATGTTTTGGTCTTGCAGATGGCTATGTCATTTGGAGGCGGTGCCAGTGAGATGCACACCACACCTTGGGGCACGCCTCGTTGGGCATGTGGTTGGCTCATGCATCAGTTAGACCAGACCTTGCCCATCTTTTTTCTATAAAACATCCTAGGGTCCTCCCTACACTTTTAGCAACATTTTAAAACAGCACCTCAAAAAGCACATTTTCAAAAATCAACATTTTAAAGCAGGTAATTTCCTAGTAAGTTCATCCATATTTTAAAATATATTTTTTAAAAATAAATTTTACAAAATTTTTAAAAAAATACAAATTTTCAAAAAAATATAAATTTTCAAAAATAAATTTAAAAACAATAAATAAATTTTACAAAAAAATAAAAATAAATTTTACAAAAACATAAAAAAATATATTTTTAAAAAATATTATTCCAAAAATTAGAATAAATTATTTTACAATAAATTTTATCACAAATTTTGTAGAAATATTATGGGTAAGGTCTGGTTTATTCGTTTTTTACGGGCACCATTCTTTCTTAATTCTTTTTATTATTTTATTACACGTTGTTTCATTATAAATATTACTTCTTATTTGTTTTCTAAACATTCCCATTATTCCAATTGCATGTGTTATTGTATATCTAAGTTCGTGAGTTTTATACCGATTATTTAAAACCTCATGTAACAAATCAAGGTTATTATCATTTAATGTTTTATATTTTAAACGTTTAATGCTAGAAAACATATTGTATAATCTTTTTACTATGCTATAATACTTAAAAATAAAGTTATTAGCGTTTCCTTCATCATCGTCCTTATATAATAAATTATTAAACCCTTCTATAATTAAGAAATTATTTATTTCAATAAACACAAATATTTCTAAATCATCATCAATAGTTTCATTATTTCTAATATTAATATTTTTGTTATTCATATCATCAATTTTGTTTATAATTCTATTGCAATTATTGCATATCATATATTGACAAATATAATTACAAACGCCATTTGTAAAACCCTGTTTAATTGGTAATTTTAGCATTTCGCAGTCTTTACATTTATAATTCATAAACTTTTTTTTTCAATATATTTTTAGCATCATGGACTGTATCACTCATCACACTATATAATAGTATTATAAAATATGTCTTTAAATACTTTTACAAGAATTTTAATTTTAAATTAAAATTAAATTAATAAATTAAAATTAAATTAGGTTATGTAGATAAAATTTCATAATTTAAGTTTAGGATAATAATTTAATTGATGACTACTAAGTTGTATATATATCGTACGTCTTTCATGCATTATTTTTAAAATAATATTAATATCTCTCACTGTATTTTTAATATTAAACTTTTTACTTTCGATATATGTTTTAATGTCTTTTACATCAAAACCTTCCCTACTATGATAAGTCAACATCCATAATATACTTTCAATCATTTTATATTTTTTCTTACTGATTTTTAGAAATATTCTAACATAACTATAAGGTGGTCTCCCATACACGGTTAAAAATATTAAAATTTCATCTTCTACGTTTCTTTTATCTATTTTTTTAATCTCCAAAATATTTTCTATTATATTTTGATATCGTCGCCATCTTCTACAAGTTCTACATACATCTTCTTCGTCCAATGCATAATCAATAATATTATTCACTATTCCATTATGTAAATTCAATTTATACAATTCCATATTTTCCTTTTTAAAGTGGCAACAATCATAGCATTTTTTATTGATATAACTATTGATTTTGGTTTTCATCATCTCACTATATAATATTTATAGGTAATATTTCTTTAAATATTTTTTACAAGAATTTTAATTTTAAATTAAAATTAAATTAATAAATTAAGGTTATAATTAAATTATCATAATTAAATTATAATTATCATCATTTACAACTACAATTACATAATTTACAAAATGGGATGATATTTTCTATTGTATGAGTTAATTCATTATCTTTTCGTTGTGCTGTTAGATTTGTAATGATATTACCATTTTTCATATCAATAGTAAAACCACATCCGCAGTAATTACATTGATTATTTATATTATCTAAAAACCATTGAGTATTTACATAACCTTCTCTAGGTATGCTTCTTTTTGCTTTCCTGTCTTGTTCCTTATAATTCAAAATTTTCCTTTCAAAATAACTCATAATACATTTTTGATTAAATACATCATCAACATCCTTTGTATATTTATAAAATTTGACTTTGTTTAAATCACGAGCACGTGTTACCGCTGTAAAAATCCATTCTGGATAATTCTTTACCAAAAAATGATTATAATCAAAAATTGTTATGGTGTCATCAATGCTACTACCTTGAGTAAGAAGAAAATATAAAATTGCTTCTTATTTTAGCAATTTCTACGGATTGTAAAATTTCAGGTTTTACATTTTTTAATGTAAATAATCCATCACTTCCAATATGAATTATTTTATATTTGAAATTTACATTAAAAACTGATGTTTTAGTTTTAGTATATTCTCTACAAATTAGAAATTCTCCTACTTCATATTCATCTTTTCTATTTTCTAATTTTCTAATTTCATTTGATACATTTTTACAAGTTGTATTCAAAAATGCTATGTTGTTTTTGGAACTACTTATGTCTGTGGTGTATTCAAAATATTTTTCAATAATAGTTTTAATTGGTAATGTATTAATAAAAATTTCTTGAGTTTATCCTTATCTTCCTGTGTGTTAAGTCTCTTACATTCTTTCAATATTATATTATGTGTAAAAATATTATCTATAATATTGTCAGTGTATAATTCATAGTCTTGAGTATTTGTTATTTCTTGCACTGGTTTTAATTGCTTGGTGTCTCCTGTTGCTATTATAGTTTTGTTGTGCTTATTCTGTTCTACAAATTGTTTTATTCTCCAGTATATATTTAAATTACTAAAATAGATTTTATCAAATACTATTACATCAAATTCTGTAAAATCAAATGGTTCTAATTTAGCATCTCCATAATTAATACCAAAGAATTTATTTATCGTCATTGCTTCTCCTTCAAATGCCTGTAATAGTTTATTAGTAGGACAAATAGAAATTACCTTATAATTTTTATCAACCATTTTTTGACATATATATGATTTTCCTGTGCCCGGTAGTTCACCTCTGATCATAATAGGATTATTCTGTTTAACAATCTCTATAATGTTATCAGTGTCGTATTCATCTTTAATATCAATAGTTTTACTTTCATAAGCTGGTATTTTTATTAATTCATTATTTACAACGTTAAATTTTACTGTAGGTAAATTAATTTCATCTCTCTGCTTTGAAACTTTCCAACCTCCTATATCATCATGAAATTCTAATAATTGCTTTGTTTTTTCTTCATTGCATGTATCAATTACAAAAGCATCTGTTTTTACACTATATACATTAATATTATTAGTTATTAGTGTCTTAAAGTCTTGGTTCATTTTAAAATTGTGATGTTGTAAAAGTAGTTCTTTAATATATCTATATCCGTTTCTTAATACTGCCTTATCCTTCAAATTCAATATATAATATGATGCCTTTACATCCCATTCATCCTCATCAAATCCATAATATGTTGTAGTTGCGCCTCCTTCGTCGTCATATTCGGTTATCATTTCGGGATATTCGCTTATAATATGCGATAACTTATTAATTTTACCTCCGTATTCTGTTTGATAATGGACTGCTTCATCAATACTTTTAAATAAAATACTTTGATGTGCTGTAGCGCCTCCTTTTTCTAATAGTCCAAAATTTACATTTGCTATTAACTTTTTAATTAGTTTATCTAATGCTTCGTCATGTTCATCTATATTTGTTTGTAAAAGTTCATTAATAATATTTGTATATTCAACCTTATGAATAAATGAAGGTTGTTTATAATATACAATATTGATTTTGTGTGTCTTATTCTCATTGGTGAATTCCTTCAAAAACTTGCCATATACTAGATTATATTTTTTGTTGAAAAATAAGTTGTGATTACCACTTATTACAATGTTTCTAATTGCTTGTTTTAATTCATCAGGATTTAAAAAAAAACTTAAATCATGTGTTTTACGAAATTCTATATAAGTAGCAACGTCAATACCTTTACTATATGCAATAGAATATATCATCTGCTTGGTGTGTTGATTTTTCTTTATTAGTTCCTTAATGCTGTCCATTGTTGTTTTTAATGGTCTTACATTTGTATCTATAGTTTCAACATAATATAAAGTTAATTCATGGAGTTCATCTATTTTAATTTCATCGTTGTATTTTTTCCAATGATCAAACTGGTTAAATACTGGTATTTCCCTAATATTTAAAAAACCTTTGGTAAATGCTTTATTTACATCTATTTCTGTTTTATAAACTAAATTAATATTACTCGATAATAAACCCGAAGGTGCTATACTTCTTGTTTCATTTAATATTTTAATATCAATGTCGTTATAAAAGGATTTATGCGATGACATGAATAAGGATTTATTGAAATTAAACATTGCTTTGTTCATATTGTTGTATGTAGTTTCATTGCTAACTGCAATCCATCCATCACCGGAAGATTTAA